TCTCTCTCTCTCTCATCCCTGCATCCATTGATTACAATAACATTTACCGCCAAAATATACCACAAAATTGCTTTATTATACTTTACAGCCAACTGTTGTATTAAATTGTATATAAATTTTACACATTAATAGAAATGTAGAAATAAATACATGAAAAATGATTGCCTAAAAACTTAAATTTTGATTAGTTTGATGAAAAATGCAATGATTTTATCCATTATATGATGATTTGATTTCTTATTTAATTCCATTGGATTACTATATGATTATTATTTGCAAAACTCAAAGCACTAATCATTTAATATTTTTGTTGAATTGAATTAATTCTGTGTAATAATCATCACATTTAGCCATTCAATCATTTATTTAGCATTTATTTTGTTTTTATTTGTAATTTTCTTGTGTTTCCACTTACCATAAAAATAGGCTTCAATTTGTTTAATACATTAAACAACGAAATAAACAGTTTATTTGCAATTATAATATGACTTCCATTTGATTAGCAAAATAATAAAAATTACATTTCGTTTTATAACTTATAATATAAATTACATATGTTTTTGATTAATCAAACGCTGACCTCATTATAACCCCGGCATCTCTCTCTCTCTCTCTCTCTCTCTCTCTCTCTCNAGAGAGAGAGATGCCGGGGTTATAATGAGGTCAGCGTTTGATTAATCAAAAACATATGTAATTTATATTATAAGTTATAAAACGAAATGTAATTTTTATTATTTTGCTAATCAAATGGAAGTCATATTATAATTGCAATAATTGAATCATTAAATCTGTTATTTTTATTATAACTTATATTATATGTATATATAAATGTTGTAAATGTATTTTACATATTCACTCGATTACCTGTGAATCCAATCGTTTATATTATAACTTATGTATAAAAATAAGTTTTTATTTCGTAGACTAATCAACGAAGAAAAATAATATTACATTTAAAATAAAGTTCTTGAAGTTCTTGACATCAATTTTAATACAAACCATGAAAAATATAAATATAATATATATTTTATTTTTACATACATTTTCTGTACTATATTTTTAATCAAAAAACTGTTAGAGAGAGAGAGAGAGAGAGATGCCGGGGTTATAATGAGGTCAGCGTTTGATTTGAGAGAGAGAGAGAGAGAGAGAGACTTTTCTAAACTAAAAATAATTTATATTTTACTAGATATGAAATTTTGAAGTTTAAAATCAGAAACTGATGTTAATTTAAAATGAATTACATGTATATAAAAATACCTGTAAAGTAGAAAAATGTTGTAAAACTGATTTTATAACGAAAAATAAATAAAAATTTATTATGTTATCAAAACATTACCACATATTTCGTTAGTTTGAGTGTTATTTTTGGGCAAAATATTTAGCATTTATTTTCGTGTTGTTTCCTATGGAGAGAAATACTATCCATTTTAAGGACATTCGTGTGCTTTCACCTCAATATTTGCATAGATTTTTATTTTGTGTTTAATTACAAAAATAATTTTACTTAAATTTTTGAAAGAAACTTTGTAAAAAAGTATCAAAATATAGAATAACCTTTATAAATTAAATCGTGTATTTCCTGACCATTAAATTAAACACAATTTTCTGATAAAAGTGCCAAAAATTTAAACATTTTTAAAAATATTAATTTAAAATTAATAAAATATAAATGTTTACTAAAAACACGTAATGATAAATGTGTATAAATATAAGCAATTTATTTAAACAAAAACAAAAAATTAAACCTAATTTCATAAATAAGTTTCTAAATATACATTTTAAAACAATTATCGATTTAAATACACAAAATTAAACATTTTAATTATATAACATGGTATGTATTTAAATAAAATTACATACTATGCACACACATGCCATACGCTGTAATACAAGGTAAAAAATAATTGCCACTTAATTCAGTTGCATATATAAAATGTGATAATTAATTGTGAGCAACCATTTTATTATAAGCTTTATATCGTGTGATATCTTATTTTTTTGTGTGATTAAACACAAACTCATTTTGTTTATTACAATCATTATTTCAAACGCATATAAAGTAATTTTTTGTCATTTATTTTAAATAACTTTATTTTCTTTATTTGTATTTCATTAACAAATTTTTACGACTCTTTTGCTTCTAATCTGAGAAATGTTTGTTTCGTTTTGAAGTTTCAAATCCCATGTCAATGAACATCGAGATGAAAATATTTTGTTTAATTTTGTGTCAATTAATTTAATTTAAATATTGAGTTCATTTAAAACACGATTTAAATACATATTCAATAGATTTTGGTTCACTATTGATAGCAATTAGTGTATGTATTGGGAGAGGGAGAGAGAGAGAGAGATTTCTGTATTTAAAAGACTTATTTCTTATGATAATTACCATTTTAAACCATATGATTACTACCCCATTAGGCTATTGTATTCAGTACTGCCGCCATCGGTGGCCAATGAGCTCCGGCACCAGAGGCCGGTTCCGGCCAAGAAGTACGAGTGCGTAACCCTATTGTTTAGTGGTATCGTAGGCTTCAGCCAGTATTGCGCCAAAAACTCGGACTCAATGGGAGCCATGAAGATTGTCCACCTCTTGAACAGCATTTACACCACGTTTGATGTGTTGACGGATCCCAAGAAGAATCCCAATGTTTATAAAGTAAATATTCAGTCGATTTCGGCATTTCTTAGGCAAACATTACAATTAGTTTGTAAACAATTAGTTAACAAAACAATTTACATCGTGTAAAGTTGTTGCACTAATGTTAGAATTAGAGCTGTAACCTATTATACAGTTTAAAGTTTGTAATACAAACTTTGTATGCATTCAGTAGTTTTGTTAATGAAATTTTTGTATTTGTTTAACACATATAACTGACTGTCTGTATGTGATAATAAGGTGGAGACAATCGGCGATAAATACATGGCAGTGTCGGGCCTACCGGAGCCGTGCGAGAGTCACGCCCGGTGTATAGCGAGACTCGCGCTCGACATTATGGACCTGTCGAAGAAAGTCAAGACCGAAGAGATGAACGGAATTGTATGCCATTTATATCAATACAACTTAAATACAGCCATTCATTGTCTTAAATTGTCGTTGACTTGAATCAAACCCCCAAACAGGAGATCACAATTGGGATCCATTCGGGAGAAGTGGTGACCGGAGTTATCGGCAAACGAATGCCCAGATATTGTCTGTTCGGGAATACAGTGAACGTGACGTCGAGGACAGAGACCACCGGCGAGAAGGGACGGATCAATGTGTCGGAAGACGCGTACAGTTGTCTAATGGAAAAACACAATTACGACCCGGAGTTTCACTTTGAATACAGAGGACCCGTTCAGATGAAGGGAAGGCCACAACCCATGGAAGTCTATTTCCTATCCAGACTTCCCTACGAGAGTCGGGTCTGAAGTGTTGTGTGTTTCGCAAAATGATATCATTTTTAATTATATATGAAATTTACACCAAATACTCATTAATAAGAAACAAAATGTTAAGTATTGTATGACTTTATGCACAACTTATTTGGTGACTTAATTGTTAAAATATGTTAAATATTTGCGATATATTTATATTTGTTTGTGTCTCCCCTTCTGTACGACAATATAGCCATTAATTATAATTAAATTTTCAACACAAGTGTTAAGAAATATGTAATTTCCTGTAATTTTGTTGTTGTTTCACAAAAGAAAAGCACTTTTAATTGATGTATAGATAACGAGACAAATAATAATAATCGCAAATCATTTTGAAATCAATCATTAAAAATGCATTTTTTAAAGTATGAAATAAATTGTGTATTAAAATTAATGCCAATTTGAATACAAAATCAATAAATAAAAATAATGTCAAAACAGTTATAACAGCCTTTTGTCTGATTATTTGACAGCAAAATAAGACAACACAACAATAAAATAGCATAACTTTAAAAGTGTTATTGTTTTAAAATTCAATTGAATTACATTTTTCACGTCAATAATCGTTACTTCCTTTTGGATAATAATTTGTGTTTATTATCTCTTTTTGTATTTGCTTTTAAAGTATAACTTATTTTAGTTTTTTGTATTTTTCTTAAAAGTAAGTGATTTTTCGAGAGACGAGAAAACAATTAATGAGTTATTTGTGAAGACATGAGAGAGAAAAAGGAGACATTATTATACATATAAACGGCGATTAAAATTATTTTTTAATGCAAATCACTCTTTCGGTTCCCATCGATATATTATGCAAACGGAAAATATAATAAGCCTTTCAATAATAAATATTGCCTTTTATTTAGCGTTCAAAATAAACTGTTAATTGATTCAAATCGTTATTTACGAAAGACAAGAGAGAGAGAGAGAGAGAGAGAGACATGAGAATACGGTATATTTTTTTTGCATACATTTATCTATTAACAGATTTTTATATTCTGTATTGAGATATTGAAATCAGAGTTGCGTTTATCTAATCACCAAAAATAGCAAAATATTATTTAATATGAATTGATTGCGAGTCCGGAATCAGGTTTACATAAATTAGTCGATCGTTTTGCCGGTCTATTGAAAATCCATACAAAATGAATTCACAATTATTTTTTTCCGCAAAACTTTTCATTAATGGTTAGAAAAAATAAATACTTTATAAAAATATTACGGTTAGAGAGAAGTCAGAGGATTGTAATTACATTTGCATCAGAAAAATCTTGTTTTATACGTAATTTTTTATTTCATTAATACCCGTGCGATAGGTATAGGGAGAGCACCGGCCGGAGAGGCAATAGATCTGACAAACGATTTATTAGATAAGTTTTTTTTAGAGGTCTAAACCAATTATAAATAAATACTATTAGATATTTATGTTATGGTTATGTATAATGTTTTCTCACACACCGAGAAAAAATGATTTTGGTTGAAATGTGATATTATTATACCTGTATATACTGTATATATAACGGTAATTTTGGTTCACTTTATCCATGAATTAGCTATTAATTCAAATAACCATTTAATCATTTTATTGATAAACCGTTTTTTGAAGTGTAAAACCGTATATTAAATGCAATTTTTCTCTCCCTTTTCTGATCGTAACATAAATTTTTTAACGAAAACTTTTTTTATACTCCTATTTATTGTCTAATTTATTGCCGTATTATAAATGTGTTATTGTTTTGAATACTTTATTACATTAATTCATATGTAATCTTAATGTAATTCTCAGTCCGTTTTAAAAACATTGATATTATTTTTTCAAAGATATAATTTTATTTCTGAATACAAGACATTAAAACATTAAGTTTTGAAATAAATATACATTTCCTACAGAATTATATGTAAACCAAAAGAAATAAGTCTTTTAAATACAGAAATCTCTCACTAAAAATGCTATTAAAATGAGTCTAAATGTTGTATTGAATGGCACTTCAAAATGAAATGCATTTCTCGTATGAAATAATAACCAAAAGATTAATGTATTTTCTTTATGTTTTGGTTTCAAATTTATTTTATTAGTGAAAAACGAAATATTTTAATGGATTTTGAGGCGAAAAACATAACCAAAAAAATTACTTCATATTAAATAAAACATACAATTATATATCAAAATGAATATTATTTTTGTAAAACCAAAATTTCTTTACGAGTAGTGAGTGTTAAGGAAATTAATATGAAAATTACATTTTTGAGTCTTTGAACACAAAATTTTATAAAATTCAAATAGTTATTTGGTTAGTTTTTTATTAGCATTACTTTTAAAATGTTTAAATTTTCATAAAACTATACACAGAAATATTGATGCGATGTTTAACCCGATTTAGTGAACAAATTATATATAGATTTTTTGTTATATTTATTTCTCAATGTTTTGCTAAACAAAATTAATTCTCAAACTTTGTATTTAAATCCGTATTTAATAACATATAAATTGATTGGAAAATAGATTTTCTCACTAAAAGAGTATAAAAACTGATTACTAAATAAAAAAAAGCAAAACAAAACAAATACTCGTTTTTATATTCAAATTTCAATTTAATATTTCTGTTTCAAAGCGAATCAAAAAGCCATTAGTTTTTCAAATTAAATCCTAATTCTTAGTCTCTCTCTCTCTCTCTCTCTCAACTCATCTTATATTAGAGACACAATTATCCAAAGCATTGAAACAAATCGTAAAACTCTTTGAGAGAAAGAAGTAAAAGAGTTTTCAAATAAACGATAGAAAAAGACAACTCTTTTTGCGGTATATTTAATAAAAACGATTTCTAAGTCTTCTTGACCTTCATTTCAATACTCAGACCAAACACTACAACAAAACACATAAATTGCTATCTTTTTGTTTCATCGCAAATGAAACACATTTTAAATTATATAACGAGTAGTGAAACAAATAATACAAATAAAATTATTGTAGATCTCAATGACTTGTTATAACTTATACACGTTATTCTCTCTCTCTCTCTCTCTCTCTCTCTCTCTTAAAATAAATTTATAAACAACTGATTTACTAATTTAATTACTAATTTTATGTTTAAACTTTGTTTAAAACAAAATTTAACAAAATTTGTATTCAATAATCATTTTTTATTGTGAATTCATTTCAATTTCAGTAATCATTTATATTTCTTGACAGACAATGGATTGAAACAAACTTTTTGAGCATTACTTAAGCGTCAACTTTCTTATCGTTTGTATTGTCTGTCTTACTGTCTGTCTTGATATCTGTCTTAACGTCTGTCTGTGTTTGGGATTTCGGCGGATCTAAACCCCAATCGGTGGCCACGAAGTCGACGTGACTACTGATCCAAAGATGGTGGGGCAGCACGTGATGGACAATACGGGCGTCTTTGTCGTAATTGAGTAATCCCTCCAACATATCAATACACTCTGGACTCAAGTCTTTCATGCGATTGTCTTTCGTGAAGCCTTTGTTCTTCAGATGCATCACAACATCGACGAGACGCTGAGCTATCTTTGGGAAGTCCTTCTCCTTCTTCTTCTTGAGGACATCGAGTTCTTTATCGCTGAGAAAGGGATAGGGATGTGATCTGAACAACAGTTTATACAGACAGACGCCGAGTGCCCAACAGTCGTCTTTCGTCGGATTGTAAACCTCCGCCCGATGTTTGAAAAGCTGCGGTTGTCTCAGGTCTTGAGTGATCATCACTCGCAGCGCTTCGGGTGCCATATAATGAGGTGTTCCGACCGCCGACTTATTCTTCACGAGTCTATCGTTTTTGTAGACGACGTGAGCGCACCCGAAGTCAGTCAGTTTGACCACTTCCTGTCCGGCGGTCGACTTCACGATCAGTATGTTCTTCAGCTTCAAGTCTTCGTGAGCCATACCTCTGGAGTGAAGGAAATGCAGTCCATTAGAGATTTGGTAGAAGTAGTGTCTGGCGATGGACTCGTCAAAGCCAGTGGCGGTTAAAGCCGTATCTCTCTTCAGCCGTTTGTCCAGATCTTCTTCGGCCAATTCCATCAACAAATAGGAAACTGTGGGCACGTCTTCGAGGTTGTGGTAAACGTAATGACCGATCAATTGGATGATGTGTTTGTGTTGACTCCTGAAGAGAGTGAACACTTCATTCTTGAACACATTCATCATCTGTTTCTTCTCCGACAGTTGCATGGCTTTGATGGCAACCCATTGGCCGCTCTTCACGTGCTGTGCTTTCCAGACCACACCATAGCCTCCCTTTCCGAGTTCTTTGCCCTCCGTCTTGTAGTAGACCCTCAGGAGCACCTGACGGTCAAAGGCAAACATCCAGTTGTCACGAACTTTGAGCTCATCGCCGTAATTCACGGCCGGAATTATCTGAGAAATGGTGGCCTTTGACTGACTGGTGGACACCTGGAGGTCGTCTTTGTGCGACCACTTAGTGGTCTGTGTTTTGGATGTCTGTCTGTCTGACCGCTCGTGTCGTTGCCTTTCCTGTCGCTTATCCTTCTGTGCGCCGACACAACAACAGCAACACATCCGACAAATGGCTTTCAATAGTCGACACATATCTGGAGCTGAAGATTGTCTTTACAATGGATTCAGTGATTATTTGGACAAAGATTTACAACTTTTCCTAAACTGTCGGTTGAGTTAAATGATTATAAAATAACGACTTTTTTTATGTAATTGTCATTTAAATCAATTTTAAATCGCGAGAAAGAATAAAGTTCAATGTTAATGGGTGAAATGCCAAAAATTTTATATTAAAAAATTTTATTTTTTTTAACTTTGCGAAATTAATTATCATTGTAAGCATAATTAAAATTGATATAACTGATGTTCGGTAATTACGTTATTCACTATAAAAAACGTACAAAACTGATACTAAATTTCTTAATTTTGATATAACTTTTCTCGGTTATATCAGATTTGAGAGATTTTTTCGGATTTCGATACTACTCATCCATACCTTTCTATTGATATATCATATGACATGGTTATTTATAAAATAAAAGATTTGACTTTCAGAATTTTCTCGATAAAAGTGGTCACTGCG